CGCGTAGAGTGCTTTCGGGGGTGCGCGGCCTACTCGGCCGAACAGACTTTCGGTGAGGAAGTTGCACTTGCCTGCCACGCGCATCGCGAGGTCTTGCGATAGGCTGTTGTTTTTGATGCATTGTCCTATCTCTTGGGTCATTTTGTGTACCTTTTTGGGGAATGGTTTGACTCGGGTGTATTGTTGGTCGGAAGTGATGATCACCGCTTGGATGCGCTGTTCTGTTGCTGGCGGCTGTCGTTTGGATGGTTTCATATTGTATCCGAGGGCACCGTTCAAGTCCTCGAAGCCGGTGAAACCTGACTCTGCCTCTACTGCAATCGCGGAGCTGCCGTAGTCGTCCACGTAGTGTAGCGCTGGACACAACACGATGATCTGGGACGTGGCCACCAAGCTGTCTCCGAATCTGCTGCATCACCGTACACTGGCTGCCGACCCGAAAAGAAGCACGGTGTGGCTCCAGAGCGTGGGTCCTTCGGTCGTAATGAGCAGATGTTCAGGTTCTCGAGGCGGTAGCTGTCTGTGTGCGCCATCATGATCGTGTCCCCACAAAAGTTACGCCCCAGATTCGGAGAATTCTGACCCTAAGCCAGGGACCAAGGGGAAGCGCTTTGGATGAAAATCTGCCCTCGCTGACTTTTTCCTACTCTTAGTCTGAATTTTTGGGATCAGCAAAGGCATCGCAAGCACGCAGGTCAAAGCTCACGCAATCAAAGACCTGGACTGGTAGCCACCCCTCAGCTTCAAATGGTGGCCTCTTCCTGGCGGCAGCCCCACCTGGACAGCCCAGCCTCGAAAAGCAAGCGACAGAGTGGAAAGCAGGAGGGGCTTAAGGAAAAAAACAAGCGACCGGGCGGGAGGCAGGGGGTGGGGGGGCAAGCCAGCGCATGAAAGTTAACCCTGCCACATGGCTGAGTTCTGCAAACTCTGTCTAATATTCGGCGACGGTGGTCTGACTCTGGCTGCTACACACAGCTTGTTCAAAATCATGGCCAATTGAGCCATGCTTCTTTCTCTCAAACTCAACTACAAAACCAAAGTGCTAACAAGGTAACTTTTCTTCTGTGCTGGACCTGCTAGTCAGGGGTCGGTCCTTCTTGAGCCTGTGCATTCAATCATGCTTTCACGCCTGCAAATGCTCAAGTCAAACTGTATCTACTTGGGCACTCCATGTTGACGGTACATTCGAACACCCCGCCTCAGAAAGTTCTGCAAAAGGTTGACTGGCATTCTGAGGTGCTTTACATGGGGCGCTTCAAACTTTGAAAGGGCT